TCGATATACTCCCAATTTTTTTTCCTGCGTCTAAGTAGTTAAGGAAATTGATTGAGAGAGCAAAGAAAAGTGCCTATATGCACTTTCCTTTGCACTTACTTTGCTTTGGTTGCACATATATGTGCAACAAAAGTATAGGTTTGCCTTGAGTTCAATCCTATTTAAGAGGGTAAGTATGAATGTTCTTACACCACCGTGAGGGAAAGATCTGAGACTTCAACAACAGCGTATCAGATGCTCGAGTTTTTCACAAAATTGACGTCAACAATATTAGAGAAAGACCATTTGCAGATGTCAAAAATCCTCTCCTAAACCTTTTCCTAAGGGTTTAGAAAAGTGTTCCAATCAGCTACCCGAAAAGATGTCAAAAACTCTCTCCTAAACCTTTTTTAAGGGTTTATTATAGGCATCTACGATACCTCTCTTTGCGACATTTTACCAAACCATAAGGGGTAGCTGATTGGGACACTTTCCTAAACTATTTTAGGTTTTGTATACGACGCTTTTTTTTAGAGTGTATGCAGGCAGCTAGCTGCATCTATCATTGTATCTAGTGAATCTAGATGCATCGAGCGATGCTAGCTGCTTTTTTGCTTGGGTATTTTTGCATGCTTGGATATTTCGTTATTTATTCCAAGCGTTTTGATTGATAATTCAATCTTCTTCAGTGGATAACAAACATTAATTAAATTGATTAAAATTACATTAACAAAATAAAACGAATTGAACAGACAACTTTTTTCAAACTTTTTTCCAAAAACTACCTAAAACTATTTAAAATAGTTAAACTGTTAAGATTTGAAAAAAGTTGTCTGTTCAATTCGTTTTATTTTGTTAATGTAATTTTAATCAATTTAATTAATGTTTGTTATCCACTGAAGAAGATTGAACTATCAATCGAAACGTTTGGAATAAATAAAGAAATAGTACGAAGAAAAAGTAATTAATTACTATATACAAAAACTTGCATCTAACTTCGTAATCATATCGAATTTCAAAAAAGTATTCATCTACACTTCTATCCGATAAAAAGCATTAAGCACTAAATTCTTTGCAACGTCTGTTAACCTAACATGAATAGACTAAGGTTCCCGGTAAGTAAAATGTGTTCAGCAGGTATGCAACGAGATCTGATAGTTATAGGAATATTAATGCATGTAGACTAGTGTTGCATTTGGTTTCGAATGTAGAAGCTGAAGAGCTTTTATCAGAAAAACTTCTCATTTGAAGTTTTTTCCTATAGAGATCAAGTTTCAAGTGTCTTAGACAATCGAAATCAGCATAGTCGATTGTAATGAATCAGCACAAACACTTCATCTGTGTATCAACTTTTTCTGAATCGGGATCTCCGTCTTGAGTATGTCACATTTCACTATCCATAGAGATCAAAGGTGCCCCTTGCTGTTTGATCACATCAACTTTTCCGTCTAATTTACTTTTCTTCACATTTTGCTTATTTTATGTATTGAACATCTTCTTTATCTAGGTCAGAGAATCCTACTGGGATCCAACTGATAATAGGATTCCTATTGTAGTGTTCCTATTGTAGTGTATGAAATCCTAGGGCAGGAATTCCGTAGTATTCTTGATGCAGGACAGTAGCAAAAATACTGTAAGATTCCTATACTAGGAAGCTTATGCATTTCTTACAAAATCCTACGGTAAGATTTTGTAGAATTCCTATTTTTTCGTTCTTTTTTTATACGAGAACACAATCACCGACGTGTTTTGCAGTAATTCTAATATAAAAATGAGCTGGTTTTATACCGTATTTAAAGCGCTATCAGGCGGTTATGTTTAAGCCGAGCCCTCATTAAAACGTTTTGCTGCAAAATAAGTATTCATTTTGAAAGAGTAAGTCACTTTCACTCAAATAAGAAAACGATCGTATGTCGATTTTTTAGTTTATACACGTCAGAAAGAGTAACAGTGAATGAACCTTTTCCGATACTATGAAAATGTAGTATCGTCACTATTTGTAAAGCCACCTGGCTTATATTTTTTGATAAAACAGTAGAAAAAAAATGAAAATTATTTAAGCATTTAGTTTTTGTTGAATTATGATGTGATTTCAATTGAAAATAAGAAAGGCGGGAAGTCTGGCTCCTACTGACACTTATTCGTTTTTCGACTTGTACTCGTTATTAAAAAAATATTATTTTCGAAAATCTCTTTGGTTTTAAATCTTTAATATCTTTTCATTTTTTCTTGCCGTCGTTCAACATTAAACTTTACAGTGGTGACTAAATTTTGTAAAACTCTGATAGTTTTACAATCACTTCTACTTGCTTTGACATTATTTGCATTGATTTCAAACACTAGTCAACGTGGTACAAACGAAGATTTTGCTATTCGTGCCATTCAGTTTATTCTCACTGTAACATTGATAATTGGACTAATGATAAAAAGTTATATTCGTCTATTGATGATAGCCACATATTCATCGATCATCTATCAGTTCTGTTTATTTATATACACGATATGTGCTGACAGTTTGAACAAACAACAATCAGACTTCAAATGCTAAAACACTTTTTTGGTAAATGTTTACCTAATTGAAATGGAGAAAACACATCTTACTTTGGCATTATTTTGGATTTTGTACTTTTGTTAAAATGGGTGTTCTTTATGTAGGTCGCTTGAAATTTTCTAGTACAAGTCAGTTTAATAGTATTAATGGTAAAAATGTCAGCTTTCACACACGTTAAGTGCCAAGGCAACACAAAATTTGACATTTTTATGGTCAATTAAGATGGCCACAAAATTGTTCGAGTTTAATTTTTAAATAGCTACTTGTAAGTAGGAGAAAATTTCGATTCTGATCAGAAGTGATGATATCAGCGTCACCTTCGACATTTTGATATTGTTTTCAAATTTTCTAAAGAATGTTTTCTTCGTTAGGATTTTATGCTCTTTCGTTTGAAATTAGTCTTAAATTTGCAAGACAGATCGCTATAATGTTGGTCAAAACTTCATGAAATTATCCATGTTCTTGGGCAGGTGTGCAACGATCTGTGCAGAATCGGGATCGGTTAGGCTCGGAATGAAGTTCGATTTCATTCTTATTAAATGATAATAAGGTGAGTATAGCATTTAAAGCTTGACAATGTCAGATTTCTGAATAAAGCAAAACGTACTTTGCAGCAGTGTTATACTTTCTCAAGACATCTAAAGTATTATTTCATAATTATTCAAGACTTTCTATTTAAAACGAGTGCAGTTATTGAGCTTTAAAAATGCTAACAACTAATGTTAATGATACCATGCGGCATAGTCCCATAATATCATATATATTTTTCTTCTGAGAATTGAATCAATACCGAACGTGATCAATTCAAGCTTGAGATCGATGTATGCATATTCTCGAGTATACTTGACATGATGTGGTAATAATTCAAAGCGGCTTAACAGACAAAGTATTTTTCTCCAGCCCAATCACTTTCTTTGTCAATGAGTAAAAAACAGGAATCAAATCGATCACACAAAAAAATGTAAACTATAAAATCAAAAATGCATCTTTCTGCAATCTAGTCATAGAATTTTCGTAAAGAAGTGGTATGAGGCACTAAGTTCATTCAAGGAAACTCTGCCACCTAAGCAGATGATAACAGTCAAGTATTACTACATCATAGAACAAAGCCCAACGAATATAACTAACCATCAGTAATTACACTCTAGATTTCTTTTTAGGAGCATTTTGCACTAATACTTTGGTTGCCGGTGGCTTAACAGCGGCTTTATTATGAAACCATGTTTTAGCGTTTAATTTTTGTCCTTCTAAAGTTTCAGGTTCTTCTGGTGGTTTTTCGATAATTGCATTTTCTTGCACACGACTTGCACAATATTTTGCTTCTAAACCTTTCAATATGACATAGGTATGTTTCAACAAAATTTCTTCTTCAATATTAATTGTCTGAATATCCATTTCTGTCACATCTTCATTCCACAAGTCTGTTCGTTCTAAATAAATTTGAATTGGTGAATCTAAACGAATATTTGCTCCTAAAACACGTATCATCAATCGTTTCAAGGTGCTGATCCATTGTTCAATATTTTTTAATGATAGAGCAATTTTTTCACTTTCATATGTTTGTTTTCCAAATTTCTGTATGACATCTATTCGTTCTTCATTTGAAAATGCTTCTTCACTCAGTTCCTGTTTAATATAATTTCGTAATATTTTATCAAATAAAATTTCTTCGATTAATTCGTATAAGTCAATGATATTTGTTAATTTTATTGATGAAAATGGTGGACGACGAAAAACATTATCATTCAAACATGAATTATAACGAATATATTTTTCAACAAATGTTTGAATTGTATTTACATCATCATCATTAATATTTCGTAAATATGTAAAAACATAATCTAATGAACCTAGATAATGCATTATATCATCATTATCCATTTCAAGTAATAATTTTCTCAATTTTTTTCGATCATCGCTAATGAACTTCTGTTGTTTCACTCGTCGGCGTATATCGTTAATCAACGAAATATCTTCATTATACAATTCAAATTGATAATTTAAATAAAAAAATTTGCTTGTATCGATTGTACGTAAACGACCAATAAGATTTCTTAACGTTATTTCGATTTCTTCATAATCATAGATGATATCTTTGCTTTTCCCATATTCATAATTAATTACATAACTATCTTTATTTAGTTTCAAACTGATATCATTTGAATTTAACTGAAGAACGTGTTCAGGTTTGATTGTTTGTATTTGTATGCGTTTCAATATTTGTTTTTCGGTGTCGTTAGTATTAATGTCTATCACTTTTGATTCGTTCAAAATTGTATTTTTATAATAAAAAACAAGTTCATTTTGTAATTCAGCTATTGTTCGTAGACAGGCAGCTAACAGCAAGCTACTGTCGTCTTTTGATGTATTCAGCAATAGAAAAGCAATACTGGTGTTTTCAGCAAAATCTTCTGCTCGTTGTTCACGAACAAATGTTGGTGTTTGACAGCCGAATCTTACTTGTTTCAAATTTAATTGATACCATGCATATAAAAACTGTTCATATAATCGTTTCATGATGTTACGCTCATTTTCACTATCATCCTTATTATTCAAATAATAATTAATTGTTCTTACAGCAGCATCATTCCGTTTTATACGATGATTAAATTTCTGTAACAAATAATTCGAGAAATCAACAATTGGATATAAATATTGTATGTTCTCGTAGTCGCCTAAACGTTTCAGAATAAATGTTGTTATTGGATATGATTTTTCAACGTATGGTATCGTTTGTAAACTTATATGAAATTCATCAATTGGATTCACTGCAAACATTTTTGTTATATTAAAAAAATTTAAGTATGGATAGCGTAATTCATTCTCAACGAATTCATCCATATAACTACTTAATGATGCTTCGGCATCTTTTTCTTTGACAAAATCAGTATATGCTAATTTATATTGTTTAACTTCGTCTAACATTGAATTAAGATGTGGAAAAACAAGTTGTTGTTCGATCATTTGTTCAAATTGAATTACATTTTCAGTTGTATTCAGTTGACCATTGACATTTGCAGCTATTAACATATGATTAAACATTTTATATAACCATACGTAACATTCTTCTGGTTCGACGGAATTTTTTGAAATTATTTCGTAATCTTTCTCATAATGATCTTTAAAATATGTGCCAGTTTCAATCTTCAAATTTTGGAAATCATCATCTGATAAATACTTTAAATTGTATAGAACGTAGTATAGAGCGTGTGTCAACATGTGTAAGATGCGAAACGAAACAGATTTGTTTAAATGATCAGATTTATCATTCGGTGTAGAATGTTCAGCTGTTCTGCTGTTGTAATATCCCAAACGTACTTTTTGATTATATTGCTCAACATATTGTGTAATTTGCTGAAATGCATTTTCAATCGACATTTCAATTTGTGGTGGATTACGAACAATTAAAACACCATAGGCTGAAGCGCCAATTGGTTGTTTACAAAAGGGACAAATGGCACGATCAACTGGTACGCCACAGTTTTCAAAATAAAACATATAAAAACAATTTATAGAGCACTGATAGATATGTTTTCCCTGTGGCGCTATCTGTCCAGTATCTAGACGTTCTTGTACAACTGACTTTACATTTTTCATTTGTCTGACAATAGGATCATCAGTGCATAAACCCAATAAAGCTTTTGATTGGAGATGTTGAAAATAACTATTTGGCATTTTTCTATTTTGATTAAATAGCAAGCTATTCATACAGGTATTGTTTTCTGTGGACTTGGAGGATAAAAATAAAGCAAAGGTATTTAGTGCCATTAGACGATAATGAAGCTCATTAACTGACATTGTTGGTTGTAAATGAAAATATGATTTGTCATCGAAGTTCTTACACAGACTGATAATGAATCGGTAGCCAACTTGTTCTAATTGACGAGTTATTTCATTTTGGAGACCATCTTCTATCGTTTGTATAAAGACATTTTCAGGCTTAGTACCTAACAGATAATATCGTGTGTAGTATTGGATGAACCAGAGATAAAAACTGTATGCTAAACCAATGTTACTACCGCATTGTTGAACCAACTGTTTCAATTCTTCAATGTTTTTGAATTGATTTAACACATTATTAACACGGATAAATTCATTTTTGTATTCGAATAATGGAGTAGGTAATATAAGATCTTTCCTGGACGGTTTTTCAGCCCGCATAATTAGTGGTTTAATCCAAACAAGGTTACGATTCTTAAATATTTCTTTTAATTCGTTAAACGTTTTAGAAGACATATAAACCATTTGTTTAATAATAAAGATTTTGAGTGTTGAGCAAAATGATGAGTCGTCGGTTGTCAACAGACGATCAATCGTTGTCATAATTTCTTGTTTCGAGTCATTGTTTAATGCAAAGGCATATATCTGTGCATAATACTTTAACCACGATATCAAGCCAATTAGTTTAACATGTTCGATTTGTTTGTTAGCAATCATCAACTTCATTTCTTGAACGTGCTCGACAAACTCAGTATAATGTTCATTCAATATAGCATCTATGTCATTCTCATCCACATGAAGCATTAAGTTCATATGTATTCGATTTACGAACAGGCGTTCTACCTTCATTGTTTGCCCTTCAAGACTTTGTAGATGTTGTTCCAACTTGACTAAATCATCTTTTATTTCGAGTGTACCATGATACTCGCTGATTGTTTCGAATAGATGTAGTTTTGTATTGATTTGCGAAAAAATTTTCGCTGAGTACTTCCATAGATCATTATCGCTTTGATTTAGAAGTGTTAATATATCGCAATATTCCTCTGGATTATCAGCTAGCCAGTTTTTGATGAATTCCACTTCGAGTTTTATTAATGTTCGATGAACTGTCATGTCATCCAGTTCTGATTTCGCTTTTTCAATCAATTTTTCAAGGTAAAGAACAAACTCATGGATCGTATGACAAGATTGAAATATGGTATTAAAGCCATAATTGCAGGCATGTTGGAATACGTGCAAAGATTTGTTGTTGCTGGTTGTAATTAAAGTTGTAATGCAACGAATTAAGCTTTGAAATGATCGCAGCTTTTCAAGGTTGTTCACTGAATATTGCTCTAAACTAAATAGTCCTTGACTGATAAGACTGTAAGTGGTGGACAAGACTTCAATATTTGTAACATTTTTTATTACTGCAGTGCTAACGATCAATTCAATTAAGTTCATCAGACAGTTTTCGATGTATGGGTCTCCTGAAGATTTGAAAGCGTAGTTTTCGTTCAGTGTGATCACATGTGGTGGCAATTGATAGAAAACATTATCCTGAGTTAATATTAAGATGTAGAAATTAGTTTCTGGTATCGTTGCATCTGAATGTTTTACTATATGTTTAAAATTTCGTACACAAATGTCTGACAGAGTTTCTTCATTTACTATATTTGTGCAAATTTCAAATATTCGTAGTATTTCGATTATTTCAGCTTGCTGTACAATGAAATACTTTAATTTGTCAATGGAACTTAATACGGGATTACTGCTGAATAATTGTAGTACAAACTTGGTGGATAATTGGATTTTATTCTCGTTTAGAAATAACGATAACAGATCATGGTAATAATACTGAAAAATGGGTGCTTTACTGAGAATCGTGGTGTTAAAATGCTGTTGATAAAAACTTTGGGTTTGTAACTGTTGCCATATCCATTGGTCGCTCTCCGGTTGTTGTTGTTGCGGAACAGAATTACATATACGATTTATGATAGCAAATTCACTTGTTGAACAAGGAAAATGTAAATCGAAAACGAGCGGTATTTCTACGATATCGATATTCATATTTATCGTAGTAATTTTAGAAAAGACTGTATTTAAACAGTCAAGCCACAGTTGTTGATAAAGTTGATATTCATCGGTTGTCTCTTGAATATTCTGTTTCATGAACAAGTAACTGTCAATAAAAGAGTAGTCTTCCAAGTAAGTGAATAATGTTAGGAAAAACGTGTCATAAAATTGCAATAATAACGTTTGAAAGGCATCATTAAAAGAACGACATGTTGCTATAATAAAACCGTTCGCGATGAGGTCTCTTCGCCAATCGATAAAACGTGTTGAATCGGTAAAAGGAATGTGTTGTATTAAGTGTACGATCTTTTCTTGTACAATATGACGTAAGTTGAATTGTTCATCGCTATCGGTTTGTGTGAAATATTCAATGATATCATTTCTTCGCAAATTAATCTTCATTTCCAAATCTTTGTTAGCGACATTATATCGAAATTTTGATAGACATCGATCGATCAATTCATTAAACAGGCAATCAGATGGCATAAACTGATTTCGGCTGGCTAAATATTGATATGATGGATTACGGAGCGCATCCTGGGATATCAATTCGTGTTTGTTGAGATCATCAATCATATCCACAGACCAGTCGTTAAATAATATTTCATTTGTCACTTGATTCAGCATATTTCGTTGAAGATGAAATACAATCCAAATGAAATGGTCGTTTCCTTTTTTAACTTCATTCAGAGCATTTAGTAAGTGATGTTTCAATGACAATAGGTGTTTTTGTTCTGTATGGTAATCAACACGTATTAACAACAGTCTTATGTCAGATGTGGACTGATAGTGAGATTTTATTTTATTAATTAAATCAAGTTCAGTTTTTAAGTTGCCTAGCTTCATTTCTTCAATACTCATGGAAATATCTTTAGAATACTCAATGGTATCATAAACTTGTGTGTAAGTATAAATAATTTGTTTTATATTGTTGTTGTGTTCTAGTGCCTTTTTTATCAGATGTGTGAGATTCATTTCTCCATGAATATCGTAGTATTGCTGGATTAAGGTGTTAGTTTCATCCAAATTAGTGTCTTTCAGAGCCAATGCTAAAGGAAAATCGAATGAACTTGCGCGTATGAACTTTTTTTTGCAGTATTCGGTAACTCGATGTTCATTTACGTCTGCTTGTTCTGTTTCATTCACGGAAACATTGCAATCTTCATAGGCACCAATGACAAGATTACATACATAATCATTACTGTAATTAACGACTATATGTTGTAGCAACGGGAAATGTTTTGTGGGCGACGTTGGTAAAAGATCAGCTAACCACGATAATAAGCGATCGGCCATTTTCCAATGTACCGGATGAACTAAATCGTGAAAATTAATTATGTGCTTCTCGAAGCGATTCAGAAACGGCGCGTCACATTTTTCGACATCTTTGGCGTTCATAAATACAATACAATAGAAATCATCATTAACTAAACATCTAGGATGATATAAGGCTCCTAACGCTATGCGACAATATTGTTTTCCTCCCGAGACAAAAAAGCTTTGATTAAATAAATCATATAGATTATCGTACAGTTGTCCCATTTGCCGCATAATCAATGTAATACTTGTTTCTGCATGCAATATTATATCCATCAAGGCACGATAACTGTAGGATTCCGTGTAGGTATTTTCTGACACAAGATCGCCAGACATTTGACTTCCTATCAGAGTTCTTACATTTTTGTTCATATCAAGGGAATTTATATATCGTTCGACATAATCAATCAGACTTTCTGTTTCTGATATCAGCATAAGATATCGACCGGTACGAAAATGTAAACTTTGATCGAGCAATTGTTTGAAGGTTGGCACGGAATATTGGTCCATTGCTTCTTCTCTGTTCATTTGTTCGCAAAAGCTTTTCCACATAAGCAGCGAACCATCAATAACACCGTCGAAATTGATTTTGAGCTGTTTTCGAATAATTTCATAGAGTTGATTTTCGTTAGACATATCGATTTGAGCTTGTGTGAGTTCATTAACAATACCTTTGATCAAGGAGTAATAATCTCGTAAGCCGAAATAGTTCTCATACTTCTGTTGTGTATTCATTAGATAATTGTACAGATCATAATACGCAGTAGCCAATCCAGAAACGACATCATCGCGCAAACATATATCATGTCCGTTTTTTACCAGATTCTTACAGATAGTAATCCCTGTTAATTTTAAATCTTCAGGATCAGGGTCTGGGCATGCCAAATATAGAGCTCGATTCATCTTTGATGCATCTAACCGCCAATTCGATATCCCAACGAATCCGTATTTACAATTTTCTACTTCAAGTTCAAAGTGCAATACTTTCAGTGGATTATGCGGTGATAATTCAGCAAGACCAATTTCGTCGAAAACAATAACCGGTAATAGCTTTATTTCAGATTTAGCATCGTTATATTTATCAGCTCTTTCAAATACTTTTTTAATACTTTCTGATGTACAATTTTGTGAGCCTTGATATGACACAGCGACCAGTTCTGGTAGGTTCTGAAAGTATGGATCTTTTGATTTTTTCCCTTTTAAATTGCTAATAATAATTTGTACGGCCGATGTCTTACTGCAACCAGGTTTTCCACATAAAACAATTGGTATACGATTTATAATGCATGATAATGTAGCAAATATATTTTCACGTAATGCTCGATTTGCTGCCGTTCCTTTTGGTAATTCCATACGATTAACAATGTCCATTTCTTCTTTCTTTAGAAAGTTTTCGATATTAACTTGTTTGCCACCAGATACTTTTATTAGGACCTTTTCAATTATATTAACATATTTAGATTTTTGGTCGCTTGTAACTAAACGAAAATAATAGCAGAGTAACAGCGCTATAAGCCCAGCTCGTCGAATATCTGATAAGGAATCATTCTCTTTTTGTTGCTTTCTGATGACAATTGATTTGTAAAACCAATTATATAAGCGACAATAGCGCGCAACATCACGAAGGCTGACGCTGCTCACATCTTCTAGTGTTCGTAAATAGTTTTGTGATTTTGAGATTAAGAAGATACATGTTTTAAACCAGTTCACATTTGATGCTAATTTTGAGCAAGATTTTAGCATTGTTTCAACGTATTTTCTTTCCGTATCTTTATCTAGGAAACCATAGTCCCATATATATTCCAACATTGTTTCAGGAATTTGAACAACGGTGTAAAGAAGTCGGTCTGCCGTATTTAGTTTTTGCATTTCATACCGATTTTTCTTTATTCCAATGTTATCGTCGAAAACAGTCTTTTCGGTTTTATGCCGTCGAGGATTACAAGCACCCAAGAACACCATATTTTCTGGCAATTTTTCACCCATCATAGTTCGTTCACACGTTATTTCTTTGATTAAATCAATATTTGCCGTTGTGTTGAATTCATCAAAAAACACCCATAGACGTTTGACGTTCAAGCAAGCGTCGTTCTTGTTGGTAACTATTTTCTGCTGTAGGGCCTTTTCGGCAGCGGCCTTTTCGGCAGCGGCCTTTTCGGCAGCGGCCTTTTCCTTAGCTTCCTGTATGAAGCCCTCTGCTTTTTGCATGAAAATTGTCATCGTTTCAATTATCTTTGTAACCGTGAAGCCGGCATGAATACGAAGTACTTCCAACTCATCATCCAATATTTTGTTACATAGAAAATTAATAAGCGCAGTCTTTCCGCAACCTATAAATGAAGTAAACTGGTAAGGACATCAAACTGCGTATACGCTTTCTCGCATCTAAAAGAGTCAAAGCCAATCAACGTCAAACAAATCCCAGTTTTCTAAGTCTAACGTCACTCCGTCTCTACACTCTATGCTTCAAGGCTTTCTAATTACCTGTTTCGCCCATAATTACTACAGGTAGGCCACTTTGGATACGTAGATAAATCAATAACATTTTAATATAATTATCGGGAGTAAGAACATATTCAGATTCAACTAACGCTGCAATTTGCGTTTGAAATAAGGTGATGTCATCATTGTTAAGTGTCTGTGGACGAACAAGTAGGTATTTTGATACACACTGCGTGCACTTTTCAGTATCATATGGATATTGCCTGAAACACTTCCCACAGATGGATTTGTTAAAATATTTTTTGGATAATGAAGCTAATTTGAGGAAAAATTGTACGTGAGAAAGCTGGCTATAATCTGGAAACATGTTCTGTACTTCTGGTGGAGGCATCATTGATGCTGCTGCAGCGGTCAGTTTTATGGTGGCTTGCAGAGCAGGTGCTTTCACTGTCGCTTGTAATGTTCGATAAAAATGATTAAAATAATCCACGAGTGATTTTGGTATGTCACTCGATGTTTTATAAACAAATAACGGATCATCGGTCGATGTAAAGACGAGTGTAAACGGTTGCGTTTTGTCCCATCGAACAATAGCATCACTGAATTCAAGCTGGAGTGTATTATCACCAACTGACCGTTGCTGTTGACGAACAGCTTCGACTGATATAGAGGTGAATTGATCGGATGATTTAAGAAATGCTTGAACAATATCCATCCGTAGTTGTGGTTGATCTAAACAATCAACAAGAAAATAACCACATTTCGAAAAACCGGTAAATAACGTATGAAATACAGAGACAAATATGTTGAATTGTGTCCATGTTATATATTCAGGCTTTTTATTTTTCAAAAAGTAATTTTGTATTAACCGCAGACATGTTGGTCCGTCCAAATTTTGCATATTTTCAAGGTTGATGTCCCTTTGCAAGATTGTTTTGTCATTAATTGCTTGTAAATAATTAGCAACAAACTGTACACGGGGTTGATTAAAATTTAACTCATTCCAGATCGCATTATCGAACTGAGTGGGTTTTACGCACCTAAACAGAACAATGTTCTGTTGTAAATCAGAAAATGGTGATGAATCTAATTCAAAATAAAGGGGTGTTTCCATTGGTATATTGACAGCAATTTGTGAGAAACAAAAACTACGAAATAGACAAAGACAATATATGACTTCGTTTAATAACTGAGAATTTTTTATTGAGCCAATGCCAAAATGTATTGTTGATTTGCAGAATAAAGTACTGAATTTCAACAGGCGTTTACCGATATTATCGACACTCAAATCACCACTAATTGGAAATTTAATCAATTGTTTTCCCAATTTTTGGGATTGTTGTTGAATATAACTCGTTTTTCCCAGACCAGTAATACGTGACGTTACAACGGTGCAATTCTCAACCATTGATTGAATCTTTTTGTCTAAATCTTTTTGATTTAGCAAATCAGTGTCACGTAATATCTTCACTAGCTGCGTTGTTTTCAAAGCATTAACTAGCTGTACTGTGGCTTCCTCAGTTATAATACCCATCCGAAACAAACGTTGTGGTTCTTTAACAAGCAAACTCTTAATCAAGGGAGTAAACTGGTCCTGAATTTCAGGTGACAGCCGTTCTGGTCGAATTAATTGATGTATTTTATCATTTGTATAGAAACAACGATAGATAAATGCTCGTATTTCCATCCAACTTGTTTCGACATTACAATAAAATAATTGATTTACTTGCGGTTGGTTATCTGTTAAGTGGAAGAGCGAAAGTATAGCTCGAAGTATACCATCATTAGTTGTTTCAATAACAAAAAACTTTTTATCCAGCTTTGTATTATTAATTTGAGGGTATGTTGAGTACTGTTGAGTATTATTAACAGGGTGTTCATGCTGTAATAATAAAAATTTTCCAAGATTTTCTAATCGTTCTTCTGCTTTTAAACCCCTTTTCGGTTGAAGGTTACCATCAAAGCGATGTGGTCGAAGGCCAATGTAACGTATCAATTGATAGCCGCAATCTTCTTCATTCAATTTTTCATGATTACAAAAATAATTTGCAATGATCCAAAATTGTTCGCAAGAAAAGTATGTTAAATCAGGATATTTTTCATAGGACTGACATAATGTAGTTTCCCAATTCCGTAAAAAATATGTTAATTTATCGCTGAAATTAATTAACTCTGGATATTTACATTGCGTACATGTAAACACTGTGTTTGACGCAACAAATTCTCTAGCATCTGGATGACCCATCACATATAATAATGATAAGTTTTTCAGTGTACCTTCAACTACACTGATAAATGTTACAAATGATCGAAGCAGTCTGATTTCATTTTCATCATCTTCTGGACTTCTCTTCTTTAGTTTGTTATTTCCCGAATATTCAATCAATCGTGCTCGATCACGTAATTCACTTAAATCAGCAAAAATCAAATTTTGTGGCATAATCTGTACATCAAATTGTTTTTTCATATCAATATTTTGTGTAAACGTTAATGATGATTCTTGTATTATATTGAATATTCGCGTTCGTTTTGATTGTTCTTTATTTGTTAATTCCATGTGAAGTTGTTTTATACCAGCCAGTGACAAGGAACATGTGTGAAAAAAATCGTTGACATTTTTGAATTCAGCATCATTGTTCAATACATCAGCTAAAATACTGAATATTTTGCTCAAGGTTATTTGGGCTTTATCCGTCTTCAATTTTTCAACAGTTGAATAAATTCGATCTAAATAGGTTTTTAAGGTGACAAAATCAATAACTGTCTTTGTACTAATTAACGTTTCATCCCAATCATTTACGGCTTCCAATAAATTATCAACGTCTTTCGCCGTTAAACCGTGGAGAAAATCAATCAGCTCATGCGAAGAACTGTATTGCGAACAAATGCCTAGAGTTTCTTGACTATATTTTTGTGCATATGCGTTAGTATATTGCTCATAATATAAATAACAATAGTAACCCTTAGTTTGTTCATTGATTTTTAACAGCTTATCGAAGAGTGCATACGTATCATTGTCAGGTTGTATTTGAAAATACTGTAGTAAATACTTGGAACCTCGACAAAAATGCTTTAGAAATACACAATTTTTCCAATATTCAATTACTATTGCGATATATTGTACCGATTCGGGATCTAGTGAAGATTTTAGTATTTGCATTTCATGATTGATTTGTTCAGCATTAGAGAAAAGATTAAGAATATTTTGAATAGGCGTGGTTTTCCATTGTTTAGAAATCACTTTTAATCTGTTTTGAAATGATGCTAAATAAGTACTTGCTTTTGTTACTAATTCTAAACAAGTGGTATCAGCAAATTTTGGTTGTATCTCATCGAGTTCAACTGTCGTTGTCAGCTGCTGTTTTTTTGAAACGTTAGTCGTGTTTCCCAGAGTAATTTCAGCAAGTTCGTCATTTTGCTGTTGTTCTAAGTGGTCGATAATGTTATTTATTGTGGCAGCTAGAAAAACAAGAAAAGTTTCTATCAAGTTTTTAACACTAGAAGGCATAGCTAGGATCGTTTTCGTGGTGCTTCAGAGGCTCTAAAGCATACTTTTTATGCCAATTGTAGAGAATTGAATGCTGTATCCGATGGCAGGACCGGAGATCTAGTCAAGTGTTATTTAGATACCGAAAAATTGGTTTTATTCAAAACATTTCGGTTTTAGAAACACTATATTTTTACCTGTTTGAGTTCAAAAAACTTCACCTTCAATACTAAAAATTTTGTTCAGTTTTAGTTGGACTTTCTAACGAAATGGTGCTCTAACAGGACGAATAACGTATGACGGAGTTATATCTAAAATATTGCAAAGGTCACAACTATGCGCTCTGGGGTTAAGGAAGTAAGCCTTTTGATTCCCCTTTGAACTAACAGCTTCGTCACAATCAGCGTGAGAAAGTAATTTTTATTTCAGAGCACCTTGTCCTATATCGAAGTATTAACGGCTAGAGCTTCTGTGAAAAACGTCTTCCTTAAATATTGATATAAGACGAAGCAACACGTACTAGAATAATCTTCATCAAACCAGCCGTTATCTTCTTCTGTATTATTATTGCCTTGTCGCAGTAAATTTGAGTCTTCGGCTTCTGTTATCACATCAGTATGTGCTCCTGTAAAAAAAAAGACAGGATCATAAGACTTTTTATTTACTGTCGAAAATCTTGGTGCTGCGTACCTTCAATGTTTTTCTCTTGTTCATAAAACTTCATCCAGGTCAAGGACGTCACGAAAGGATTTAATTGATCGGCGTAAGGAAGTAGTTTGTATAACGGCAGTGGTACTTTGATGGAACTAATAAATTGTCGATCGAATTGCTCTTGCATCTGTTGAATAAACGTCAAATATTTATCTCTATCGTTTCCCTCTTTGCAATACGTATTCAAACATAAAAACACTTTATCTTTAATTTTAATTTTTTCTTGCAATTCTTTTTGGCTTTTATCGAATAATGATTCAACTTGGTATTGTTTTTTTAATGATTTTCCAACATAATCCCATATCTGATGAAAATGATACTTTTGATTATCACTATAATGTTTTAATTTCCATACTTGTTCACTTTTCAAACCAGATTCTTCCCACGTTGTCCAAATGGTATCCAAATGCTGAAGAACTGTATGATGCACTGTCATATTTTTAAAACAATTTTCAAATAAAATCGTATATAAAAATGTACTAGCTCGTGGGTTTTCAAACGAATCGTATAGAATGTCTTTCGTATCTAATTTAACAGTATTTGCACATGATTCAATTAAGTGCAACAACAAAATATTTTGTTCCAAATGCTGTAACTGCTGAAGCTTGGTTAGTTCAATTAATCGACTTAGTGGATTACCGTGATCCATCTGCGATATGTAGTATCTGTTGTGGTGAATATAATCGGTAGAAAACTTTTCTTCAAACTCTTTTCTGAACAATTCATTATGAATATACATCCCAACTTTTGATATTGTATCAAATATAAAGTTCATACCTAAAACGAGATTCAAGACGATTTTAAATAAAAGTTGATGTATTAGGAGTAGCATATCACCAAACAAAAAATAAAGTTAGTTTTGAGTTGCTGAAAAGTGTCTTTTCGTATTCAGCACACTTGATAACTCTAGACAGAGATGCAACCAGTATCGGTATACCGGTACCGCCACGAATTATAACGCCGACCGCTATACCGGCATTAATAAGTATAACCACTCGGCCGATATTGCTAGTGTTTTACGGTATGATACGATTTTTTTCGAAAAACATCGTGTAAATTCAGTTCATCTGTGACATATTTCTTCCACTAAAATTTTATTCCAATTACTCAAGCTTTGTCGGCTTATATAAACTTCTTAATTTAAAAGATTGATTTAGGTTGTTGGCTTCGTAAAAAAAAAGGCGTGTGAAAAATCAGCTATACATAATCAAAGTGAAAAGATTAATCTATCCCTGTGATAACATAAAATAAAGTTCACAGTAAAGAAAAACAAGGAAAAAGTATTTGTATTTAGGCAAAATACGATGAAGACAAGCCGATATCGACCGGTGAGCGGTACCGGTATCAAATTTTTGATATCGGTTACACCCCTGACTCCGGAGATCTTCTATTTTTGGCAAGGGGTACTTCCGAAAGTTTAGGAAAAATTTTCAAACTAATATTATTTTCCCATAGAACTTTTTTTAAACTTTTGGAAGTACCCGTACCAAAAATAGAAAATCTTCTCGGTTATCGAGTGTGCTGGATACGAGAAAAGCAGTTTTCAGTAACTCAAGACCAACTTCTTTTTGTTCCGGTGACATGGTCTCTTATAGTGTATGATACTAATCAATGATAGATAAGCGCGATACAATTAAAGAACTAATACTTGTTCTGCATGCGTAATTCTCTAGTGTCTCTACGAGTTTAAACATTAGATCCCCTAGCGAAAGTTCTTGAAGCCAAGAAAGCAAGACCTTGGGACATTTCTTGGCCAAGAAACGATTCTTGAGCTTTCTTGTGCATTTCTTGTTGCAAGAAAATCTCTTATGACCATTATATGCAAGAAAGTCATTTCTTGCAGTGAGAATATGTTTCTTCTAGGTTCAGTAAAATCAACAATCGTTCATTGAAGATCACTAAAGATGGTACCAGCAGACAGAATGTGCGAAATTTCATTTCTGTCATTTTTGGTCGTGGAACCAAGTCTGCTAAATGTTTTCCTCACGATGAAAAATGCTAATTATCAAAATTGTTTCGCTAACCATGAGTTTTTCGTAAAATGTATGAGTTCTGTTCGGTGCGGAAACAAATTCTGAACATATTTTGTTCCAGCCATAGCCATCTCGGATGCTTCCTTGATTAGATAAATCCTAATTATTCATTTTTCGAAAGTTCTAAATTTTTTTCCGTTGCTGAGATTAGTGAAAGAGAGCAAGATAGCGAAGCCGGACAGCTGAGTGGTAAGGTGCAGGGCTCTGAATATTGTATCTCGCTGCATTGCGAGTTCGAATCTGAGTCCTGACATTTTGTTTTTTTACTTTTTCTTGCTAAAACGTTTTACCATAGCAAGAAATACATTTCTTGAGTCAGAAGATAAAAAATTGTTTCTCGCACAAGAAATGGCAAGATCTTGGGACATTCTTGCCCCGAGATCTAGCTATTTCTAGAAGTAACTTCTTGTTGTAAGATCTTACAAGATCAGCTTATAAGAAATCTCAAGATCTTATAAGATCTTGTAACAAGAAGTTATATGATCTTGCAAGATCTTGTCAGTTCTTATCACAAGATCATACGATTTCTCGTTACAAGATCTTATAAGAAGCGGCGACTCATTCTTACCACATAAATTTTGCAACGATATATAGTATATATAAAACATAGTTCTTATGATGAAACTTAGAATTTTTTCTTTCTCCAACTGCACACATCAGCTGAGCACAAATAAAGTGCATGGTTATAAGAAACGTGGTTAGACACGTTACTAAGGACGTCAGGGTCTTTCCTATGCTCAAAAATATTATGAAAAGAAAAAAGCTGTTTTTTAAAGAGGGTCTGTAGAGGAACTATAGTACAGAATCAGAGACATAATCTTATATGGTCTTATGAAATCTTTCAAGATCTTGTCACTTCTTGCACAATCTTATCGCCAGATCTTGCAAGGTCATACAAAATCTTATCACAAGATCCTGCTGTAAGAAAAATCTTGTGAAATCTTATAAGATTCTTGTGGAATCTTGTAAGATTTTCATATGATCTTGTAAGATCTTGTGAAATCTTGTGGTATCTTATAATATGATCTTACAAGATCTTGTTTGAACGTACAAAATCATATTTCAAGATTCTTCGCCCTGGGTAGATAACTAGCCAGAACGTAGTAGCCATATTTTATGAGTGTTACCTAGTGACATGATATCTCCGATGAACTGTCGATAAAACTGGACTTACATATCAGAAGAATGTGTAAGTAGCACAAAACATGCTCAATATGTGAAAGAGCTAGGCAGCAACTGTAAGAAAAACTTCGTTTGTCAATAACTGTAGTAAGAGCGTAAGCCTTTATAGAGAAATGATAGTTTCCCCGCGTTCGAATGGAAATATAGATTTCGACTAGAATTAATAACTACTTTTATCCGTGATTCGACTGTATTGGTCCATTAACTATGGGTTAAGTCTTGAAGACTGATGTGCCTTGCTGCACGCTAGATAACCACATGCCAACAGTTAACACTAAAAAATGGTTTTTTATAAGCATCTCGTGGTTTTCATTGTCCTGAAGCCTTTCTTTAAGAATCGAACACTCATTAAATTTGTAAAGTTTAACTATTACTTAAAAGCTGCACTTAGACACATGAACGTACATACCATGTTGAAAACATATATCAATAATTTGTTTAATAAAATGTTTCAATCGCAGATCGTTCTCACGATTAATAACGGCTGATAACGTTGTAATCAATGCATCGATTTCCATTAATATTTTTAGAAATAAATCATTCTTATATCTGAGTTTTTTTAACCATGCATTCAAGAGTGTCTTGTAGTCAATCCAGTCATTTTCTGTTTGTATATAATGTGCATCACACAGAAAATACTTGAACCACTTGATATAAAATTCGAATGAATCTTTTTCATAGCCAGTAATTGTCTGAAGTAAATATTGAACTTTATCAATACCAAATAAAAATGTGGGATTATAATAATGGAAAACATCTCGCAACGGTTCTAAATGAACATCTGTAACTTTTAAATTATTCAGATAATCTTTTACTTTCCATCGCAATTTATCACTTGACTCCATCACAGCATTGATCATTTGTTTTAGTTTAGAATTTTCATTTGGTTGTTGCAAATTTTTCAATAATTTAACGATATCTTCCAAATGAACTAAAAATAGGTATCTTTACATTCTTCGAACGGGATTACAACATTCATCTTAACGACTCAATTTTTAAATGTTCGTACAAAAATCTACACACTTACTTGAAAGATGACAGCTATTCAACATATATTCCAAATTTTCTCTAGTATGCCACTTTAAATCGTCCTTAATTTCTCTGTCTTTCAAAACATATTCTAGACAAACAGTATAATCATTCAATGACGTTGCTAATTTTAAAGAATCATATGGTATGATATCGTCCGGTCCGATTAACTTGAATAATTCTGTCCAGTTTTTTTGTACAATGCCTTTTGAAATTTCAACTAATTTTTTTAATAATCCACTTGCGATATCTTTTTGTCGTTTTTTATCTGTTGGAATACGTTGTAAAAGAGTTAGTGTTTCATGATAGAATTGATCCGATTGATCACAGTGAATATCAATACACATTAAATTAATAATTCCATCTTTCATTAGAAGCCATTCGGATTCCTGTAAAGTTTTGAACATTTCATCTAAATGTTGTGAAAATGTTTTTAACAAAACTTGAGAAAAATTTCGAATACATGGATTTAATACGAAAAAATTGTGTTTGTCAATTTGAATGATGCCCATCATCCGAAGAATTATTTTTGCTGAATAATAATCATTTTGTATTGACTGATCAATGTGTGCTAGTTGCATATAGCACGATTCAAAAAACCATATAAAATTATCTTTATTAAATATTCGATTGGTATCATCTACGTTTAAAATTGAAACAAATTGAGTGATTAATGATTCAAATAAATTTAATTGTTTCTGTTCAGTTATAAAATACGTAAATAAACATAACTGAGACCAAAACAGAACACTGGAACCTAAGAAAAAATATACGATGGTGAATCTGTTTAATCGTATGTGAGAAATCCGTCCCCTATATACTGATGAGTCTAAAATCATCTGAGAGATCTTTGAATCTCTTTTGGGCTTCTTCTCATAGATGATTTTCTTCCTTCTAACGATCATATTTTCCTAATAAGTGGATTTTTAAAGGAACTATACCTGGAACAGTTTTTGTAAAGCTTTGAGAAACATCAAAATTGAATAAGAATTGATATTGTGTGTTAAGCTCAAGTAATTGTCGGCTCCTTATTACTTCATCATAATGTGTTGTGCCACCATAAAAGTTTTTCTTCGATATTCTTAGTTGGTAATTTTGCAATGGATGAATTCGCTCCTTGAATATTACTGATGTCGTCCCGTCACTATTCTTGAATAAATTTAATTTTAAACGATAAACCGATGGACCATGATTTTGACTAGCATTGAATTTAAATATCTGTTCAAAATTAAATTTAACTTTTTTACTGAATGATGCTTGTATTTTAAATTCAAATTGATCATCCGGTGTCCAAAGCAAATATAAATGTACTTTATGATCGAGTGAGTTTGGCGACGGATTTGACGCTTGTAGATTTGATGATATTTGGGCCGACGGTGTATCCCACTGTTCATCATCGTCTGACGATCCCATACGTATTATTGTAATGAATATGAGAAGAGGCTGTTTAGAATCCGTGCAACAAAGAAGATATGAGCGTAGTCACATCAGATTGGAGAACAAAACTTCAACTACGATCCTCTGAAAAATGAATCGAATAAAAATCTAAGTGAATTTGTTGAATTACATTCACAAAATGTCACTTTGTTGAAGCAGCAAAAATTTTTTAGAAAGTTGCCCAGGTGTTAGATTAATCATCGGTTAATTTTCCTTCTAAAAAACATTTAAATCTTTGGAACTTTAAACATTTTGAAGTCACGAATTTAGTATTTTGAAATCGATGAATTCTTTTGTCTGTAAACGTATCTTACCCTCGTATCTCTTTAAGTACATGTAGATAGAGTCTCGCAAAGCCTTGCTAAATTTGATTAAAAGGGAAAATACTTTAATTTCATATTTTATTAAAACAGTTTAAAAATATATAAGACAATCAAACGTTTCGACTTCTTTTAAATTGAGGTCTTCTTCAGTGAACTTGATAAAATATGTATAAAAATATATAAAAATAAAACTATAGTTAAAATTGTTACATAGAACGTGTGTAGCTTTAAGATTGTAATGTGACTGTTTCAACCTATTTCTTTATTGTCACTCGCCTATTTTTATTTTCCTTTTTCTTTTTTCATTTTCGTTTATCCTATTTTGAGATCTAGCTATTGATTTTATTCTCTCTCTCTCTCTCTCTCTCTCTCAAGGAATAGAATGAAGATGTACTTGTTCGTACGAAAATAGAAGCACCATAAGCGAACTAAAACACATGTTTAAAATTTTTACAGACTATTGTGAGGTTATTCCTTTCAGAATCGTTTTGCATCCAATGGTTAATAGCCAAAGAAGAATGTAACTGTTACACACACTTTATTTCAGTAAATTAACATCTATATATAGTATATTTTAGCTACAGGAAG